TCTCTAAAAAAAAAAAAAAAAAAAAAGGAAAAATATATCCTCTGGTGAGGATTAACAAAAATAAAATCTATAGTAACTCATAGGTCATTATGAGGTTCAAGTGATAATGTATGTAAAAATGCTTTGTAATAATAATTTCCCATTCTATACAAAAATGCACTGTGTAAAAAATTAAACTATTATAAAAGCACATAAAATGTAAAAAGAAAAAACTGAAAGAAAATTTAGGTATAAAAGTTTGAAGGAAATTTGAAGTACAATGCATGTTTAACGCAAACCACTTTAATCTACTGCAGGTAGTCCACATATGTGAGAAGAGAAGGTAAGCATTATTTTCTTTCCTTTGGCATTCTAATAAACTGTGGGATTGTTAGGCTTAGAAGAGTCAGGTCACAGGCCAGACATTACATTCCAAAAATACTTAATATCCAACTTTTTTCTAAGTATTTTAAGACAACTAAAGAATACAGATAAGTTTAGATACACAGCTATGAGCAATAATATCTGTGAAATTATTAGTATAAATCTTTTTAAAAATATAGCACATTAGAGTGATATGAAATTCAGCACTAACACCTCTAACCCAACAGCCACCACCACCTTTAATTAAGAAATTACTACATGCCAGGCACTATTCATGATTTCATTATAACCCCTTATTGCAGTAGGATTAACTTCATTTTGAAGATGAGAAAAATGAAGTTCAGGCATTAATTAGGTAAGTGTAGTTTTCAAGAATGAAAAAAGTCTTCCTCCCTCCCATTTCTCCTGCCAATTCCCAAACTAATTCTCCTTCTCTCTCTCTCTGCCCACCCCCACCATTGGAGGGCTCTGAGATCAGGTTATTGTTTATTCATCTTTGGACTTTTAGTACCTAGCCAACTAGCTAGTAAATATTGGCTGAATGAATCTTTCTAAGCTGAAAATCTAAGAAAAAAATTCGAGTAAAAAATTGTTTCTCCATACAAATATATGCTTGTTAAAACTTTCAAATTAATATAAGTACCTAGACATTTTAACAAATATTTGTTTGTGTCCAAGCGCAATCTTTGCTTACCAGCATCATGAAGTGCAGTTCTTCCCTGCAGGTCTGCATGTTCAGTGGGACAATTATACTGTTAAAAATACAGAAACTTAGTCATCTAGAAGAGTTTTATTTTTAAAATAAATATCTGAACTCCAATGAAAGCTGTAACTTAATCTTAAAATATTCCATTGATGGGGGGAAAAAAACACCCAAAGACTACTAGATAAGCCACTAAATATTTTGACATGAAACAAAGATAACATTATACTATAAATTTAACAATATTTCACCAAACAGGAAAACATATGGTACATTACAATAGCTTACTAGGACATAGAAAATACATTATAGTTTGCTTTTTTTTGTTTGTTTTTTTTTTTTTTTTAGCATGGGTTAAAACTTCAACAACTGAATCAGAAAAACAAATGAGCTCTGCTGTTAAACTTAGTGGCAAAAATGTTTATGGAAATGTATGACTGGACCCTTTAACTAAAAATTCAGCCTACTAGTTCATAGAATTTTGTGGCTGTCTGATTACATGTTTAACTAGTGGTTAATACTATTTAGTGAAAGTTACAGATGTTTATTAGAAATACATAGATCCTATGCTGTCTTGCTTTATCTTATGTCATATAACAGACAACAGAAAATTCCAATCTCTAGTTAATGTCAACAGGAAGGCCATGTCTTTGTTATTTATTTTTAATACACTGAGTTATGCAATTCACTTCCCTCAGTTTTTGCTCTTTATTGTTCATTCTTTCACAAATGATGGAAAAAATATTATGTAAGCTAATAGTCAAAGTTAGCCTACTATTTTCTTTGACCTCAAATTCCAAAAACACATTAAAAACACATCTATTATTTGCAGTCAAAATAATAAAGCCAAAATATTAACCATTTTTACTACCTGTAGAAGTTTTTGTAGGCACAATGCATGTCCATATTTTGCAGCCAAATGAAGAGCATTTCTTCCTATAAAAGAAATAATTTAAAATACATGTGAATTTTCCACAGAAGTGTGATTCATTTTTTTCAAAAGTAATTGACAGGATACTTAATCTGTAAGCATGCTTTCAGTTTCTAAGATGTTTTACCAGGACTGATGTAGACAGATAGACAGACAGACAGACAGATAGATAGATATTTTAATGAGATCTAATTGAAGGCGGGAAGAAAACTTAAACATACAAATGCATAAAGAGCAAGCACTTTGTCTTATTTGTCCTATATCTCCAACACCTACAGTAGTGCCTGAGACAGAGTAAAGAATTAAACATTGGCATAGCAAAGAAGTGAGGGCGAGAGGGAGGAGAGAGAAAGGGGAAAAGAGAATGAAGAAAAAAAGGAAGAGAAAGATCCCTAGATTTTTCATATTTCCATATAGGCAGCATGGATTCTAAAATAGAGGCAGTTAAGAGGTATAAGTCAAAGAACAGGTATACTCTAATTTCTATGCTTCAACTAAAATTCAAAGTTCATTAAGAGACTGTGTCTCTTAAAATCAGTATTGTTCAACTATGTGTGTTTAAATGTGCAATTTTAAGGAAATGACAAGGAGAAGGGCAGGGAAGTGGTTACCAGATAATCTGAAAGGTTAATTCTGAATACTGAAAAAGGTAAATCTGCAGAGAATATTCTACCTTCAAACACTATTTCTCCTAATTATACTTCTTTAGCCATACATCTCTCTTTGATGGTGAAAGCTATAAGCGTTTCACTAGGCTATCCCAGCTTTCAATCTTTAATGCTTTTAATTTCTCTCTAAATTCACAAACTTCCTTAAAAATAATTTGACTTCACAAGTAGATCTTGCTAGAAAAAAAGTAATTTACGTTTTGTTCATCCTGAGTAAATAAGTAAATTGACTTTCAACTCTCATTCAGTTTTATATGAATTTAGATAAACGGGTAAGTTTTCCTGGGTCTGATCACTTCTGTGTAGCTGACTAACCAGGTTGAAAAACAAAAAACAGTGAGTGAGTCCAGGTTTTAAAAAGGTATATATATAAGAAATTCTCTAATTACAAATTAGTCACAGTGATGATTTCAAATTTTAGTTTGCTACTGTTCATGAGCAAGTTTCCTAGAAACATTTTACATTGTAAAAAGGGACTAGAATAACTGTCAATAAGAAAGGGTATGAAGTGGAATGGTGGGAGTAGGCACAGTGCTGAATGTCCCTGGTGTTCAACAAAATGTCACAGAAACTTGGTCACATAAAAATGTCAGGTCAGATATTTTCTTAGCCAAATTTAAATCTAGCCATTTGAGACAGGGCAGTAAAAACTCAAGGAGCACCTGTATCAGATCTAAAGCTCACCTCTGTGAATTATACTAAAGGTACACACCTGGTAAGACCTGGGTCACAAATACCTCAAAACTACACTAACTTGGAATCTGGTTATTTTCAGTATACTTTCATGTTGCTTGCAAATAAAGAAATTAAGATAAAACATGTAAAGTTTTTTTAGTCAAAAAATTTTAATCAAATAGCCACATCTGGATTATAACAAACAATATAACACCAAGTGAGACAAGGTCTTTGTCCTCAGAAAAGAACAACTCTAAGGACAAACATAATAAAACAGAGCAAATAAAAGTATGACTGAACAACAGGAAAAACAAAAGACAAAGTTGGGCAGGGTATGTTAGAACAGAGTGTATGAAATAATGTCTGCTGTGCTTGGGAAAGCACTTGAGCTTGAAGAGCACAGGAGGGAGGGCAAAAGTTATTAGATTGACCACTAGGCAAAAATGTTCAGAGGAGAAAGAACACCGACAAAACTAAGAAAGACAGTTGAATCAGCACAATAAATTTAAAAAGTCTTAAGATTTCTAAAGACTGGTATAGTCCAAGTTTCTAAAAATAAATATTCCTCTAGATCAATGGAATTCATATATCAGTAGCAGACCCATTCTTTTGTTTCTTCAAAGGAGGCAAGTATATAGTTTGGCTTTCAGTTTAGAATTTAATATATATTTAGGTAAGTAAAGATTTTCCTCATTAACTCAATTGTGATCTCCCTCTCCCTCCCTTCCATTTCTAAACAGTGTTGGTTAACAGGAATGTATTTATTTGTCCAGGCATGGCCTCATAGAATAAAATATTAAAGTTGTTACAGAAATTCTCTGTTCTACGTCACCTCCTATTTAAATGAATAACAAAGTAGTAGAAATGCAGAGAAATAAGCTATCACGAGTTCCAGAGAACTGAGAATGGTTATCCTGATAAACAGAAAACTAACACACTCATTGAAGAAAAACAATAGTTGTGTTCAAATACTTAAAGGTGTACCTTGTGATGTGCACACAGACTAATGCTGTAAGACTTTAAAGGACAGACATAGGCATGACTAAGTTTAAGCAGAAAACATGGTAAGGGATAGACTTAAACTATCTATAAGAAATAATTTTTTTATAAATTTAGCTAACCAAACACAGAACAGGGTTTCTTGTGAGACATAATAATTAAGAACATGGACTCTAATGTCGACATATCCACTGAAGGACCCAGTGCCTCACAGCCTCACTGGGATGATGTAAGGATAAAAGGAGTTAGTATGTGTAAAGCACTTCCATGTTATGTAAGTGTCAGCCATTCTTGTAATGATCATTATTGGTAATGCTCTTGTTATGAGGCAGTTAGTTCCCCATCATAAGACATGTCCAACCAAATGTCAAAAGGCCTTACAACATAAAAGATTTATATACTGAATAGAACATGTTATAAACTAACTGGCCCCTAATGGCTCCTCAAAACCTGAGATTTTAGGATCCTGTAACACTACCAAGACCAGCACCGGACTTCAGGTTCTTCAACTGCTCATCAGTTCAGTAAGCCTTTCTATTCAATTTCCTGTGCTTGACCTCTCCCTCATGATACCTTAGAAGTAAACCTTTGTTCAACTACTTAAGAAAACAGAAAATTAAGGACTTCTCTTTTAAAATTACATTTAGGTCTGAATAAGAACATTACAATTGGAAAATGCTTATATCTCCTTTCTGTTTTGTAACTGACTATGAAGGCAAACATACCTGCAGTGTCACTGGTTGTAATATCAACTCCATGTATAAGGATGGCATTCAAGCACTCAAGATTCCCCTTTGAGGCCACTACATGGAAGCTAAAGAAAAAGAAAATATTTGTTATGCCATGGAAACTACCAAAAGTCAACTGAAATGTTACATTCATGTCACCCTTTATTTAACAGACATATACACACACGTTTTAAAGGCTGGAGCACCTAAATATTTAATACAAGAAAAAAATCTAAAAACTCATTTTAATCCCATTATATACAAGGGGCCAATACTTTCTAGAAATATTTCCTTAGAACCAATGGAATTTTCTAATATTCAATAGTCTTAATAGAAAATTTATACTATAAATCATTAACTCTATAGTTTATTATTTCAATAGAAGGCACTGATGCTTGAAACTTAAAAAATGCACTGAAAATTTTCTATCAGCAGTGATATAAATATAATAAATTAAATATCTCTATTTTGCTTAGTTTCAAATACACTGAAACTGACCAAACAAATGAAGGCCAAAGACTCATCAAAATCCTATCCCTTCTGTTTAGAATTAAACCTGAAATAGAAAAGTCTTTAAAACAACAAACTATACTTGAAAGCCATAAAAGAACTGGCATCAACAACTACCACCTAATTCTTCCTTTTGCTCACTGACCTGTATGACTGGTTGAAGAAACAGACATAATTGAACAATTTTCCTAAAAAGGCAAGTAACGCCTGCTTAAAAATTAACTTTAAGCCATCAAGTATTCCACAAACAAGATAAAATATCCCATTGTTTCTTTGATCATCTAACACTTTGTTAATCAACAAATACTGACAGAAATATTTTGTGTGCAGTAAGAACTGATATTGACTGTACTCCACCAAATCCAAACTGGTAAAGTAAATACAGTAAGACTTGTTGGCAAAGGACACAAAACTCAGTCTGAAACAGAACTGAGGCCTAAACAATAACCACTGTGAAGATGGCAGGAGATGAAGGATGAGCAAGTGCTCAAAAGGTGCCTGGATACAGACACTCTGTAGCATACTCTCAGCAGGGGTCCTTCCTCACCACATCATTCAAATGTTTTACATTTCCCCATTTCCTGAAACCTCAGTACTCCAGTGTCCAATCTGCCTTTATTATTCTTTATAGAATTATGTATTTTGTAATGTAATATACAAATTCAGGATTTATTTTCTTTACAGGCTATCAATCTCTTCCCACTCAACTATAAATTCCATGAAAGCAAGGATTTTTGTCTGTTTTGTTTCCTATTATATTACCAAAAGCAACCCAAGTTCTAGTCATATGATGGGCCTTCAAATATCTGAATAACTGAATGCTTGGAGACAAAATCTGGAGACAGTTTACAAATTCACTTCCAGATATTACGACATTCAGTCTTGTATTTCTGTGATGGCTATAAATGCAAACTAGAGACCGAGCACTACTAATTAAACAGATATGGTACAATTTGAATTAGAGAGAAAGAGATGTTTCTGACAAAAGGAATATAGTATTCTTAAGAGTTGGATAAGTTCTCCTTATGAGAATGAAAATGCTGTAAGGGTGAGGCTATCAATCTCTCTCTCTCTGCAGCACTGAAGAGGGGAATTATGTTGCGCAATGCACCACCAGATCCTTTAAGGAAGGGTAACTCCCTTCAAGCACAGGTTTTTATCCTCCAACTATCTTAGAGAGATTTTTGTTTGCCTGTTTTCATTTCTTAGCTCACAAAATTTGGAAGACTTCTTTCTTAAAAATAAATCCGCATTATATACTAGTGATGTACTAAAGGGTAGAAATCACAAAAATCCACAATGCATTATTAATGCTGGTGTGCTATAAATAAATGTGCATCAGAAAGAAGATATAGCAATCATTAAATTGTATGCAAAGAGTTGTAAAGGAAGTTTGAAAAAAACTGCATCACGAAAATATTCCTGCAATTAGAAAAATCAATACATTTTCTTTTTTAAGCGAGGTACATACTTCTACTTCCATAATGGAAATGCAGATAATTTGGACAACCCCTACCTCTGAGGACAACTAGAAAAGCTGCATAAAATATGTAAGACATATGTCTGAACAAGATAACAAGATAGTGAAAAATTATGAGGCCAAGATGTAGGGACGGACAGAGGCCCAGAGAGGTGAGCTTGGTATTTGATGCCAAAAACATTTTTGGCTAGGAGCAATTGCTGATTCAAGAGAAAACATCTAAGAAGCTGAACAGCATTTCTGACAACTTGAGGGGCTGGGAAGATGGGAAATGGAGTTCACAGCTCTCCAAGTGGTGGGGGCGGTTCTCGGTGAATCTGCCCCATTTTGCGCTGGCAAAGGACTGCAACCTAGGAGAGGTGAATTGGAAGAAAACAGGTCCTTGTAGTGACTATGGCCAGGCTTCAAATACTTTGTTTTTGAAACTAGACTGAGCTCAAGGAGCACTTGTTACTTTTGTCTTAAATTTCCAAATTAACATACACCCCCCCCCAAAATCATCTAAAATAAGATTATTCCTATAATTATAGATAATACAGAAAATATATTTGTAACAGATTGTATATTTAACTAAATATAAAATGCTTTAAATTAAGGAAGAACACAGTTTGTGTGTGAGTAACAAAAGGAAAATATTTTATCCTATAAATCCCAGAAAGAATTCTATTTCCTTATAGTGAAAACCTCAAAGACTAGTAATACTCAAACATTTCACAAAATAAAGTTCATAGTTCATTACATTATACCTATTTTTATAACTCTGACCATTAATACAAAGAATTTCACTCAAAATTGAACCTAGATCAAAAAAATGTGAACAAAAACTCTAAGCATCCATTCATTCAAAACATTGAAAGTATGGATGGGCAGAACTGAACAAAGAAGGTTTCAGTGAAGATTTTCGATTACAAAGAAGATTCCCTTCATCTTTTCACATCTTGGTGTTTGGGAAAAAAATAAAAATAAAAAACAAAGTCATTTTTAAATATTAAGTTTTCACTATATATTGTGAGCCCTACAAATGGCTTAAAATTTAGCCAAATAGGAGTGGACTCAAAATAACCAATGTTTCTGTAGCTATCAAATTGCCTACTTGATAAAATTAAAACAGTATAGAAAAACTGGAACTTTTCCAACGTTATTGCGCTTAAAAACTATTTAATTTTTAAGTCATGCTTTGTTATTTTTACTATTCTTAAATATCTAAGCATTCTAAGATAGTTACCCACATCAAGAATTAACTATTCACTTCATAATATTCATCGCTATATTTAGTATCTGACTTCCAGTCATGATACTCTAAATAAACTCATGCAAGTATAAGACTGAGAGGAATTTCAGGAAATGAGACTTTTCACCTCTAACTTTGAGACGTTTCCCAGATTTGGTTTTAACTGTTATAATTATAGATGATAATAACAGAACCTAGGGCTTACCCTTTAACTCAAGTGAGCCCCACCTAAACAGGAAAGGAAGTCATGAAGACTGGGGAGTAGTGGGAGAAACAATAAACATGTAAACAAGTCAGTAGTCCTCAGTAATACAAAAACAAAGGGAAGGATCACTACCTATGTCTAGGCCACACAAGCTATTCTGCCATACACATTCTCATTTAAACTTAAATTTAATTCTCATTTACCAAAATATGCAAATGAATTGGGGTTGTGAGGAAAAGACAGTGCAATTTACAGAAATCTTTCAAGACAGAAACTTGGTTTCATATCCCAGCTCTGTAACATTTCCTACTTCTTTTAGAGGGCCACTGCAAGGATTAAATATGGTAAGTAACATTACAAAGCTTATACAGGAAATGCACTAAATAATTCAGGCTGTGGTATGCCATAGGGCCTAGAGAACTAGACCACAGGTAGTACTTTAGTATTCTCTCTCTAGCTTGGAAATCTTTCAAATTGAGAACAGTTATTAGTCCAGAGTGTTTAAAAGTGATGTTCAAAAGATTTTTATGTGAGTTTTGATACTTTTTTTAAAAATTTTATTATTGTTTAAAATATTACAGATGTGATAAAGACTTTTTAATTTAAAAAACTGATAGCCACAATTCACAAATTTCATTTGTTTCCCAAGGGTCTTCTCAAATTCTCTTAAGGAAATTACCATCAATAATACTTACACAGATCTGCCTTCCACATCTAGCTTGCCTGGATCGACCCCCTTTTTGGCAAGGATTGAGGACACTTTTTCTACATCTCCCCTTTCTGCTGCTTTCATCAATCGGTCATCATATTTGTTCCAATCTGCTGCATGCTACAAAATTAAAAAAAACAGTAAACACAGCATAATGTATATACAATACTGGTAAGACTTTCCAAAGAAGAAAGGAAAAGCAATATACATCACTCAGTTTCCAATTGCACCCCGAATTTCTTTCTCCCTGCTGTGCTAATTTCACTATGAGAACCTTTCCAAAACACATGATATACAAGAAATATTTTAAATTAGACTTTTGAGAAAAGGCATATTTCTCATGTTCTCTGCTCTGTTTCCTTTGCCTTCAGAACAAAGAAAGAAAACTAATAATTATTGAACACCTACCCCATACCAGGCATGAATTACTCAAAGAAACCTAATAAACTAAAATTATCACCCCCAATAAACAAATGAGAAAAGTCAAGGCTCCAGGAACATTAAATGAATTAAGTGGCCAAGTGCAACCCTGACTTCTCATGACTTCCAAAATCAGTGTGCTTTTCCTATTCTCTAACTCATGCTTTCAGATTTGTTTCTGGTTACATCTGTCTCAAAACCTTTAGATGCAGTGAATGTCTGCACACATTTTAAAAACTCCTTCCCAACATATTTAAAAGATACTATTGAAAATATAATTTGGAGGCAAATTATACATACACACACTCAATAGAGAAAGCAGTTCATCATGCTTATATTATAATAAAAAGAAGCTTCTACATAGAAAAACTTTAAAAAGAACTCTGACATAGTAACTACTTAAAAGTCCTAAGATAATAGATTACAAGGTGACTTTCATTTTCTTCCTTCTTATTTGCATTCAACATATATTGTTTTTGTTTAAAAAAAGATTTCTAATTTTAGCAAAAGCTCAGTGCACATGTATTTATAAGGAAGAACAAAGGCAATTTTTAAAATGTTTTAATTGTATCAAGGCTACCTTTAGCTTTGATTGGAGAAAACACATTCAAGACATTCTGCAGCCAATAACTTAGATCTTTTAGTAAACAGAAATGTAGAACCCAGAACTAAAATATACATTATTTTAGCCTTTTAAAATATTATAGAGTAAACTTATTGCTAAATTCTGTGTTAAGTCCAGTATTATTTCTCGAGCAAAAAAAGATGTAGATGTTTTTGACTTGACTGACAATTCGTATGTCCATAAATACCATAACAAATTTCTGGGGGGGAAAAGATGAATTACTTATATGAAGCATATCCTCTAAATGTTTGCCCAGTATGATTATTTTATATCTGCTATCCCCTCTAAAAGGAAAGAAAAAAATCACCAATTTTCTAGCTAAATAAGCAATATTTATTAAATACCTTAATGAAACATGAAAATTAAATATGAAAAGAGATAAATACATTAAAATTTTAACCCACTCCTGATATGTAATATTTCAGTGGAATCTGGTTCAGATACCTACACAGATTTCAGAGTTGCTGTCTCTAAATTCATCAGATTTGAAGATGAACCCACTTCCTTCTAATTTTAAAATTCAAACTGACAACTATAAGTAGAGATAGCCCTACTTATTGGCCAAAGCCTAAAGTACATTTTAGGTACCTGATTTCTTTAGCTTTAGAACAAAACAGTTTACTGACTCTAAACTGGAGAGTGGTAGTAGATGTAGACCTAGGAGACTGTGTTTTCAAACACCTAAGGGATTAAGTCACACAAATACGTGATCTAAATTGAATTTATCCTCACAGTTAAAACAATCTCAAATTTATTTCCAAGTAAATTTGCTGGTGGAGAAAGGAGCTATTTAAAACACTATAAAATGGTAAGGCTTTTAAAAAGATAATTACAGGTGATTAGTCTCATATTATCATGTGATTTTCACTTCTACTCCACCAAGCACGGTTTTCCATTTTGCTCAACTGTCAGTTAACAGAAATACTGCTCAGTTATTAAGATTCTACTATGTGTTTTTGAAAACCTAGAAAAAGAAACAAGAACTTTTGTTTTGTATTACTAACCCAAGTCTGTTAATCAGATAAATCGGAAAGAATATAAAACAAAGAAACCAAAATTACTAAAACAGTAGTACATTTTAAACAAATACAGTTCAGAAAGCCTAAAAGAGAATTTTTTGTTACACTGGACTACAGGGATACCTACTTTGTTCTTAGGAGCACAAGAAAACCAACAGTTCATCATAGACAGGGTTTAGTTTCTCGTTGCTAACAGCAAACTACTTCGCATTAAGTTACAAATCTCCGTAGCTCACAAAGCAACCCGGCAGACAAACTCCTAACCAGTGACACGTCCCTCTCTTTACAGCTCTTCCTGTTCTCCAATCCTCACGCTGTGCTACACTTAGCTTGGATCTCTAACAATATTTTCTTCATCTTCGGGATCCTTCTCCGCCTTCATAACGCTTGAAAATTTTCTTCCTTGCTGTGCAAAAGTTGAATAAGAACAGCCCCAAGTCAGGTACTGTAACTCCTCCTATTTCTTATTCTTTACAAGCTGTCTTTCAAAGCTGTCCCTTCCAGGGACTCTGGTGGAAAATCTGAAGTGCACTCTGCATGCTGCTGCCTCAACACTGCAACACAGCCGCCGCAGCGCACGATAAAACTGGCCACATCCGAATCGTCCGTAAACAGTGCGGAGGCCTCCCATTGGTCAAGTCTATTTTAGATTCCATAGGACTTGACAGCTGAGTGACAGAAAGCAGCAGCTAAGAATATACTATAAATGCATGCTTCTCCTCTGAGTAAGAAATTTCAGGTCTACTGGGGGACCAATGACTCAAACATATTGTAAAACATGCTAATTATATCAAAACAACTTGCATGACATTATGGCAATATTGTTAAGAGTCAAATTTGGTTATTCCACAAAATAATATTTAAAACCAGCTTCAGTCTTAGGATCATCTATGGTGAACTTCTAATAGCCTTGATAAACAGAATATAAAATTCTATTTTAAGCAAATGTGTCACACTTTAATTTAAGGAAATACACACACACAGTTAACACTTTCAAATTTTGTCCATTTTCCTTCCGGCCCCTGTCACTCTCCTTCTGCACACAACCAGGTTTCAGTTTACAACTGCTGCCAGTCTGTCTCCTAACATGTTAAATGAGAAGAGCCAGAGGCACTGCCAAGATGTTAAATAGACTGCATCATGATGAATACTTTTCAACAAATTTTAAATTTAACTCAGTACTCTTAATTTCCAAGTTTAGAGCTCTGCCTGATATGACAAGTAAATATTTTATCAGTGGAAAATCAAATTATCAGGATTCAGGCATTAAAAAAACAAGCTGATTAAATACTAAAGGAGGCAAATGTATATTAAACACTGAGCCTGACTAAATAAAACTCCATTTGGGGACAAAGCCGGTAACTTTTCCACATTCTTGATAATGTTTAGCATATTTGTACCAACATTTCCTGCATTACCAAGGACCATAACAAACTTCTGCAAGCTCCAGGGTGTTTTTTACCTTCCAGTTACTGCAACAGCATGAGAATAATTTATACTTCCTCCAAAAAGACAGATTTGGGAAAAGTGTTTCATAGGAATGCGAAACATTCTAACACAAGTGTTCTTAGTAAGGAGGTAACTGCTATACTATACAGAGCATGTACTATACAGAACATGCAGCCAGTTAAAAATTGTAATGAACTTCATCAAGAAATCCACTTCCTATTATTTAAATTTAAAATATTAGGCACATATTCTAATTATAAAATATATAAGGTCAGAGAGCATAATGTATTATTTCTGAAACAATGATTTTTTTCTCTCAAATCGCATTAGACATCACAATGAATTCTTGGCTGGACCCCGAGACTCCACCCACTGTATTTCATCCTTCTTCAAAGGAAATCTGGAATAGAGCTCAGGGTCTCTCCTTTGGTTAACAAAGCAAGCACATTCTTTCTAGAAATAGGACAGCAAAGGCAAAGGAAATAAAAAGAAAAGGGGAAACCTGTAACAAGTATTCAAAGCCATATAAGGAGCTGTCCGTGCTAAGGCTCAGGAGACAGGATTTACATGCCCTTCTGTACTGCAGATGTCCTGAGCCTCCCCAGCCTGTGTGACTTAATCTCCTGTGCTACTCTCACACCCTCCTTCCCACAGATTTCCCAAGAACTCTAGGTAAATTTCCACCTTTGCTGTCCCCTGTGCCTGTAAAGTTCTTCCTTCACCTTCATTCATGTTCTTCTCAAACATCACTTCCTCAAAAGCTTCTCAAACCTCCGTATCTAAACAGCCCCAGCCCCACCCTGCTCCTGCGACTCTTCATCTTCCCGTCCTGTTTTACTTTTCTTCATAACGCTTATCAGTATCTGCCATTATATCATATGCTTACCTGCTTATTAGCTTACTTCCCATATCTGATATTTGCTTCAAAATAATGAATTCAACAGCACATTAAAAGCATTATACAACAGACCAAATAGGAGTTACAACATATGAAAATTGCAACGTAATACACATTAACAGAATTAAGGACAAAAAAAATCACATGATCTTCTCAACTGATGTAGAAAAAGCATTAGACAACTTCTTTCATGATTAAAAAACACTCAACAAACAAGAAATAGAAGGAAACTATTTCCACATAATAAAGGCCACATATGCAAAGCACACAGCTAAAATCATATTCAATAGTGAAAGACTGAAAATTTTTTCTCTAAGGTCAGAAACAAGATAAGGATGCCCATTATCATTATTTTTATTCAACATAGTCCTAACCTGAGCAGTTAGGCAAGAAAAGGAAATATAAGCATTCAAATTGAAATGGAAGAAGTAAAACTATCTGTTTGCAGATAACCTGATCATATATGTATGTAGAAAAACACAGAAGTCATTATTTCTAAAATAATTATGAATTTGCAATTGATATTAACATGAGGTATCACTGTTCACACTTTTAAGTGATTTCCTTTATGCTGATTTAGAGTTTAACATTAACATCTAGTTAGGTCTACCTGGTGAAATAACTGCTTTGTGTTAGGATGTTATATTTATTCCCTAGAAACAGCTGTATTTTGACTCTTCCCACAGGTACTTTGGCTTGCTGCATTCTGATGAACATCTCCTTTCAACCAATGCAGCAGTGTCATAGTACAGAAATGTATTCATTATAACATATGGTATACATTAATGCCCCTTAAAAATCTTACTGCTTCTTTTTAGAATGCTTTCATTTGATATCATAGGGGTTATCTTACAAGCATATGACTTCTTTAAAAATGTAAAAGTGTACAAAATTTGTAATACATTTAAGTTTATATATGAAAACAGAGATGACCTATAATTCCACCATGCAGAAAAGAACATTATTAATTTTTTTAAAACTCTAATCTCTTTTCTGTTAAAAGGGTTTAATCAAGAATTTTTAACCTGAATGAATCCAACAGTTGCTTCACTTATTTAATATTTAGAATAGAAGGTCTCCTGAGAAGAAATTTATAGATATAAATAAACAAGTAGACTTTAAAATACATGCAAATCTATATAAAATACTTATATTTCCAGGGTAGACTCAACAGATCACAGCTATAATGATTTGATGACCAGTTTTAGCCCAAAGGCAACTTTTGATACATTTTCCAAAAGAGAAACATGTAAGATGACAGCAAAACTTTCATAGAAAACTGCTAAAAACCAAGAGGAATCATGCTGGAAAAAAGTACCTAACTCACAGATCTTAATAATTTTGGCGTCATGGAACCCATCTAGAATCCGATGAAAGCAATGGAATCTCTTTTAAAAATTATATTTGAGTACATATTCCAACAAATTTTCATTATTTTCAGGGGGGTTCATTGATCTCTCTATAAATACGGAGTCCATGAATGAACCCCAAGATAAAAGACCCCTAAAATAAAGAAGCAGCAAGAGTTTTGTCTTTTATATAATGTTTATATAAAGTACGTAATAACTGCCAGACACCTGGATAATTTATTTGTTCAATAAAAATTCAATGAGCATCTGTGTGAAAGAATATAAATACTTCACTCAACATGCAAATATGAATGATCATTTGATATATGCAATGCACATTTTGGGTGCTGGATATATACCATGGGAAGCAAAGCAGACATGGGACCTGGCCTCAGGCAGTTCACAGGAATAAAACCCAGTCACTTTCTTCAATTGATCTCACAATATAAAAAGACAGACATATGTGCACATGCACATAATCATAATACACTGCAACAATGCCATGATAATTATGTCTAAGGTACAGAAGTACTTCAAAAGAAAGAAAATCATAAAAGTTTTGTAGAAAAAAAATGACTAAAGCACCTACTAAAAAATGAGTAGAAAATCGCCAGGTTTGAAACAGCACCACTATTTATGAAACTACAAACACAAGTTGTAGCCCTTTATGGTTTACAACAGGCTTCTACAGTACCCTGCAATTATCAGCATTCCCCATTACTAAATCTGAGACAAGCTCTAGCACAACTGAAAACTGAGCAAACAGCAGAAAGCAAAGCTAGTCAAGCATAAACATTCCTTGAAGATTAGGCTGCACAATTAAGAACTGTTCAACAGTTCATTGGATTGATGATAATTAGAAATAGTTCCCCCATTCCATTTAGCTCAAAGGTTATTTATTCCTCCCTCTTATATAACAGCAAATTTGAGCTGACATAACAGAAAAAGAAAAATGTCAAAATAAACCAGGAAAATAAAAGATATACACCCAGCTTCCTTCTCACCAACCCCCGACTCACTTCCCTCTATTTTTTCCTTACCCTTATTTAATTATGCCCCATCCACTCTTACCCTCTCAAGATTTCCACTATATGATCTGAAAGTATGTAGTTAGAACTCAATGGAAAAAATAAAGGGAACATTATACTTTATCAATCGTTTTTCTGACCAAGCCAATAACAGGCTTCTTCCTGCTTTACTGTATTTTTCTACATAAAAATTTCAAGGACAAAAAGATAATAATAATGATTATTATTTAAGTAATAAATCTAACATCTTCAAGACTGAAGGTGGCTATGAAATCTGAAAAAGAAAATTTAAAGAACTAGAGTAGGAAAGAGCACTGTTTTAATAAGACTTTCTAACCACCCAGTTTGATTCTATTCTAGTCTGTTGTATAAATACCAGACTGTCTACCCTCCCTAGTGCAGGTATTTGTTCCTTTATTAGAACTGTCTAGACACCCAAAAGAGTTTAGTAAAAATATAGACAGGAAATTGTCTCTCTAATTTTAATGTGTCATTTATTCTGTAATATTACTTATTTAACCTTTCCTCACTAGAAGCAGCATTAAATTCCAAAGTAAACATATACATGGATCTTAAACACAACAATTTATAATGTATATAAACAAGAATGGAGTTCTCAGGCTGGATAAGTAAGATTTTGTTTAATATCCCCTTTAAAATGTTAAGCAACTGGTTACTTGGGGGGGGGGAATAAGCTTTATTCTTAGAAAATTTTATAGAAAAAGGTATTCAAATTAGAGTTCTTAAA